TATATATGTTTAAAAAATCAACTTATTTTCTTAAAAAAATTATTTAAAAAATTAAAAGAAGAAATTTACACCAAGCAAATATTATTTTAAAAGCGAAAAACTGAATATAAATAAATTTAAAGGCCGCTTATAATAAAAATAAAAATTAAACCCAGCTTTAAATAATATGTATAAAAATTAATAACACAAGGTGAGAGGCCACGCCCGCTCGAGTTCTGACCCATCTCCTGCTCTCTCATCCCGCTCGCCATCTTTCCTACCTCTCCTCTCTCTAATGACGACAGCTTCGGCTTCTATTCTCAGGCCGTTGCTTCTAACCCTACCCCCTTCTCCACGGAGGCTCCACCTTGACTCCCGCTTCCTCTCGCCCACTCTCAGACAGTCGCCACTCTCACTCCGACCTAAATCGGCCTCATCGAGCTCGACTCGTCGGCAGGGCGTTGTGAAGGCAGCGCAGTCAAGCTTCATTAAAGGTTCGCTTATCGCATGCCTTTGATTCTCTTTCCTTGTTGTCTTAAAACGATAAACGCTTTGGTTTCTTCTTTGGGCATCACCTGTTTGTAGAAATGTCTCAACCGTAGATCATTGCTTGGAAGATGGGATCATGGGAGGGAACTAGATCATCGCCGGATTCTGAAAGATTTTATTTATGTTTTTTTTTTAGTGGGAGAAAATAGAAAGCTTAAAGATATTGGTTCTGTCAAAATTTGTTGAAGCACAATGAAGTCCTGGAGAGTTAATGCAGATTTAGCGTAGAATGAAGATCTTAGGGAAAGAGAAGAGGAGACTTGAATAGGGAGAAGCAGAGATATTTAATAAAAAGATGATAGGTGTCACACTTCAGGTTCGTAAGACAGCATACTTCCACAACATTGCATATGATGAAAGTATATAAGCTTATTTTGTATTTACAAAAAAAAAAAATCATATATAAATAATAAAAATAATAAGACTAAGAAGTGAAAGTAAATTTTATTTCATTTCATAAATAAGAATTAATCATTGATACAATTGAAAGAATTATATGAAACTTACTTAGTAAATTAGAAATGATAAATGAATAAATAGCCAGTCAAACTAAAAAAATTATAATTTTGATTAATATATAAATTTAAAATATCGAAACCGTCCGATGATAAAAGATTTGCTTATGCGGTGAGGGTCTAAAAAATACATGACATTAGAACATGCAACATAAATAACAAAATGAATGATTTTACTATATGTATAGACATGATAATCCTTGTCATTTAATGATCGAAACTACAATGATATTGTAGTAATAAAAGAGTGTCATATATTCAAATAATCTTGAGCACAATTATGCTTATGATCGCGAGTATGAGTGATTTTAACAATATACTTCTATGTTGATATCTATATATCATAATATCAGGTATACCTACACATGGCCATACACAACTTTTCAACCATTTATCTCTAACTGCTAGTATTAAAATACAAAAGTGCAATCATATGTTTAGAACCCTTGAAATGAGAAAAAGTGGACATCAATCATATGAAGATCATATGATTTTCTCAAGTATCCGTTGATCCAGCTAATTATCGTGAATAATAGTTTAATATCAACAGAGCATTCTTATAGTAATGTGCACATTTCACACATTAAAAGCAATTTATTATAGCCATACCATTATCAGTATGACCAACTCTATTAACATATCAAACATGAATTACATAATAAAACCTAGTGCATTTAACAAAGAAAACGTATAGAAATAATAAACATTAGAACTGCAAAAAATTAATTGAATAAATAGGAATATGTGCAACAACTAAATAATGCTAAATTATTCATGCAATTCATTATGAATATTAACAAAAAAATCGGCATTCATATATATAACAAGTACCTAAATTTCAATGGTAGTACTAAAAATTCTATAAATTATTTTAAAAACTTAATACAAAGAACAACATAGTGACATTAATAAAGAAAATTGTATATTTATCTATTTATAAATAATAGTTTTTAATCTTGAGGCAAGTGGTGCAAAAATTCTAAGCTTATTTCAGTCTCAACTACAAGTTTTAGTGAACTTGATTTGAAGATCCTATGTAATATAGCCACTCAATATTTACAAGCATACATCTTGAGATATTTAAAATAACAATTTAATAAAATAGGCACAACTCGAACGATTCAAGCCACCCTATAATCAATCTAAATTAATTATCGTCATTACAAAAATTTAATCATTCATATGAGCTAAATCATATTTAATCCTTGTTTATTTTTTGTGCAATATGAGGCGCGCCTTGAGGCCTGCATTGTTGCTTCGATGCTTTTTACAAAAAAAAAGTTGCAATGAGTTATGGCTCATTGTCCCAAGGTGAGACCTTCCACTTCACTCAGGCTAAGGCACACCTCAAGGCACGCCTCACCTCTTAAAACACCTCTAACTTTTGTGGCTATATATAATTTTTTTTAAAAAAATTAAAAGGAATATTATTATACCTCATTTATTATCATTCACATATCACACACTAAATAACGAGAAATAAAAGAAAAAATTATTCATGAAAATTTATATTGTTGAAATTTTAATTATCAACATAGTTATTATTTTAATTAATATTTTTATTGATAATTATTTACTTAGAAATTAAAAATAACTAGGTTTAAAGATAATAAGAAATGGGAGAATATAGATACGACTAAAGCTAAGACGTGAGATAAACAATTCATTATATTGATGATTTTGATAAAAATAAATTGGGTGATGAGAGTAATAGGGACTTTAAAATAAAAAATTCAAGTGCTCATGGTTTGCTATATTCTTTTTTAAATTGGGGGTAGTGTGAGTGAGAGGGAAAGTGTAATGGTAAACTTATTTTAATTGTTATATTTTGATATTTTAGTATTTTATTTTAATATCTTAGGTTACTTTGATAGTTTAATGTTTGTATCACTCATTTAATGTTAAGATGTTAACCTGCTATTTCTAATTTTATTTAATTAATTATTTTTTACTTAATTAGAATATTGTTATATTACATTTTAATGTTTTAATAAGTTAGAATATTAATGTATTATCTCATACTTCACACTTTATAAGTTATGCAATATTTATTAATTTGCACAATTTTTTAAATTTGAGACTTACATCTCAAAATATCTTGAGGCTTATGCCACACATTACGAATGTCTTAATAGCCAAATGTGACATTTTAAACATTGATACCTATTGAAATATAAGAAAAGAATGAACGAAGAAAAATGTATTACCGACAAATTTCCGATGTTTGACAATGGCAACTTAGCAAATTATTAAGGAGAAGGTGCTAGTTTTGAGAGTGCTACAACAAGGAAAAATTATTTAAGAAATAAATATAAGGAGATGTTGGAGTGTTCGAATTTGAGGAGGATAAGAAAATACGGAGGGGAGTTGTTGGCTAACTCAAGAACAAAAGAGGAAGGTGCCTGCTGCACTTGCGGCTTGAGCACGAACTTCAAAGTGTCGAGCAGAGACTCGGTCTCTATTACTTGCGAAGGAAAATGAATGAGGAAGGAGGTGAGAGGGGGCTTTGATAGCTACTAGGGAAGGAGTGCATGCAACTTATCCCAGTGAGGGTTGGCATTGGCTTGGGAGGGGACTACAATGTCCTAAGCTTGGTCTTCATATGAGGGAAGTAGTGCAACATGATGATCACTTGGGAGAGATCGCGTGATTTGCGCTATCGGGGATGACAAAGGTGATGTCAAGTGGCTTAAATCAAAGAGGGGTGAGGGCTGCTACGGTATGGGTTTTGGGAGACCAGTTTAGGTTTGGTTTATTACAATAGTAATGTTGTAATGCAAGGGAAGAAAATTGTAATTATTAATCTATGTTTAGCTAATGATTAGTGGTTAGTGTGTAATTGCTGGTTAAATGAGTGTTCTTGTTTTCTATAAATATTTTCAATTAGAGAAGAATATGGAAGAATTTAATAGAAATAATCTCTTTTTTTATTCTTTTTATTTTCCGTTTGTGGAGTTGTAGACATTCTTGAGCTTAATTATCCTTTCCCGTTCTATTTCTTATTCTATAATCCTCCTTTCCCACAACTTTTTTGCTTTTTTTTTTTCATTTTAGGCACGTTACTATACATCAAAAAGGTGTTTGCACTAATCTTATTGAGATCTAATAGTCCAAAAGGGAAGAATGTGATGGAGGCAGATCTCTTGCATAGAGATCATGAGACCCACCAAGCCGGCCGAGCCAAGCTAATCGAGTTAAAAACGGACGTAAGAATGGTCGATTGGTATCAACCAAACAACTCACTTGGAAGCTCACTAAGAGAATTTCCACATCTCTAACCAAGAGAAAGTTGATTCAATTTAAAAGTTTTTCTTGCAGAAGAGCCGACCCAATAGAAGGACCAATTCTACATTGCATCTTCAACAATCCAACAAACCAAAAAACTTCTCGCTAGAAGTAGATTCTCTGAGCTAATGAGGTTCGATCGAGTGAGCCAAGCCGTCTGAGCTCTACCAAACAAGATAATCGACTGAGCGAGCCAAGCTGACCGAGTCCTACCGACAAAGATAAATCGACCGTGCTGAGCTGACCGAGCTCATTCAGCTGAGTTGGGATAGCTGAGCTAAAAATGACTAGATAATGAGTCATCATTTATAAAATACATATTGTAATCCCCATCTAGATGGCTTAAAAATGTAATATCACTATTGTACTAAATATTTTATAAATAAGGGAAGCATTTATTGTAGAGAAGCTCTCTGGTTCCTTTCTCTACAAGATTTTACTGTTCACTTTAGAGATTATAACTCTACTCTCTCTATATTTTTACTCTCATCTCATGCTCTATTCTTTGAGTATGATTCATGGATAAATTTGAATTCAATATTCTAAAAAGTACGGTGAGCATGAATGTTGCTACAAATAAGAAGATAACCAAACCAAAAAGAAGAACCTCACAATAAGGAGACCGATAACAACATGGAGTGCACTCAGAGTTCGTAGTCCTACCAATCCAAGATCTGAATGATCAAATGTTAGAGATGATCAGAGGCATGCTACTCGGAAGCAGGATCAACAACCCGACATAATGATCCGATGTTGAATGACAATAGAGTCCCTTCGACCTTGGAACGAGAGAACGATTCCTAACTCCTCGACAGAGCTAGGTCATAACCAATCTACCACATTCACTTTGAGCATACCAAAGGGCGGCACCAACTTGAAAATGCATTTTTTAGATAAATTCCTGAAGCCGAGCCACTGGGACTATTCAGGATTTCATATTCATGATCCTACAAAGGACGACTAGATTCAGCTGATCATATCATTTTATTTTTTGCTCGTTTAAATTCATATAAAATTTTCTAACCAAATGTATTATCTCAGATCCTACCGATACTCAGAGAACTTGGTTGAGTTCAAACAAATGATCATCTAATCAGGCCAACACTCATGGAACATAAGTCATCTAATATGAAATTTATTTTTTG